AAAAGTTAGAGCGACCCGCTAGGCTGAAAACCTTAAAGGGCGGTCTAGGCAAAAGTTAGGGTCAACAACAAAAAAAAAATCAAAATAGAAAAGGAATCTTAAAGAGAGATGGGTACAACCGTTGAAACTTGAAACTAGAACAAATTGAAGAGTTAATGTACCAAAGTATTGAAAAAGCCGCAAACCTTCAAACAAGGGGAAGAGGTTCAACAAAGCATCTAACATCCTCGAAGTTCGTTTGATAGGATTATTAAAGATGAAGACATGAGAAGTTGGCGCTATCACCTAGAGAGCAAGAGAAAGAAACTTTTGGCTTGTTTTCATTTCCCTACTTTAGTATCTCATGATTTTGCTACTTCCCTTTCTGTATCCATTAGACTTTCTGGTGACCATAATCCCTTACTTGAAATGATAAAATCTCATATTCCCCATAATCATTGGTTCTCTGAATGTGTTTCACTATATGATATGCTGAAAGTAAAACATGTAATAACATCAAAAAGTATTTCTATTACAATGAATGGACTTAAAGGTCACAAGAAATATGATTGGTCATTAACCGACCCTAATAAAGGCAATAACCCATTGATGAATGAGAACTTTGAACAGCATAGTCATAAATACAAGAAGAAGAAAGGGGTTTCCTTGCATGTTGAACGGAAGTTGACTTTAACCCTCACCAGATCTTGGAGCGCTTGTCCTCTTAAGGGGTCAAAGGTTGGAAAAATGAATACAAAGTGATAATAATAAGATGTGTCTAACACTTCATAAAGTTCATTTCACATTACATATCATGCATACATCTCACCATAAGTTTATATTTCCTTATATCATATAATCTTGGTGCGCCCCACCTTAAATCTAAAACCGTTGAAATCCTTGTTTAGGTTTATTGATCCACTGTTTTTATATTTTGAGTCCCCGCGCTCATAACTTTCAATATTTTGGATCCCCGAGTCCACTGTTTTCATATTTTGAGTCCCCGTGCTCATAGCTTTCAATATTTTGGATCCCCGAGTCCACTGTTTTTATATTTTGAGTCCCCGCACTCATAGCTTTCAATATTTTGGATCCCCGAGTCCACTATTTTTATATTTTGAGTCCCCGCGCTCATAGCTTTCAATATTTTGGATCTCCGAGTCTACTATTTTTATATTTTGAGTCCCCATGCTCATAACTTTCACTATTTTGGATCCCCGAGTCCACTATTTTTATATTTTGAGTCCCCGCGCTCATAGCTTTCAATATTTTGGATCTCCGAGTCTACTATTTTTATATTTTGAGTCCCCATGCTCATAACTTTCACTATTTTGGATCCCCGAGTCCACTATTTTTATATTTTGAGTCCCCGCGCTCATAGCTTTCAATATTTTGGATCCCCGAGTCCATTGTTTTCATATTTTGAGTCCCCGCGCTCATAAATTTCGCTATTTTGGATCCCCGAGTCCACTATTTTGAGTCCCCGCGCTCATAGCTTTCAATATTTTGGATCCCCGAGTCCACTGTTTTCATATTTTGAGTCTCTATGCTCTTAGCTCTTAATATTTTACCCATCAAGTCCACTACTTTTAATTCAATTTTATTTATTTAACTTAGACCTTTTAATCCATTGCTTTAAAGTTTTTAGATTCTCGTATCTTCCCATTTATGTTTTCAATCTCCATGATTATCTTTTCTTTTAACTTAATTCAAAGTCTTTAAGTTTCATGCCACAGACAAAATTGGAATTAAGTCTTTACTTAAATTTTACTACAAAAAATGAAAATCATTGTTTTCATATTCGTTAGTAAAATTTAAGTAAAGAGGGGGATCTGTTAACTCCAAATTTTGTCTTCCTGTATAAATCAAAAAAGTCCAGTCCATAATATTACAAAATATAATACAGATTAAAAGCAAAAAACAAAAAAAAAACAAAAAAATAAACAACAAAACAAAATAGAAAAATAAGAAGAAAAAACATGTTGCTCGTATCTTCCATTATCCTCCGTGAACCCCAGCAACTGCTCCCCTCAACTACTCTACTACAATTCTCACAGAGCTACCTTACCACTGCAAATAAATCACCATGCCCTGCAAAAATCTCCAAAATCGTCTCTTAACCAGATTCACAAGCCATATCCCTAAATTTAGGGATTTTGGCAGAGAAAGATTAATCAAATTAAAAAATTGTGTGCCTATAAATACCATAACACAAGATGAACAAAAGGAATGAAAAAATTAACAGAAACAGAACAGAGAAACTACGTTAGTTGGAATATAATCGGAAAGAAAAAACTCAAACAAGGAGCACAAGCAGGATCCTCAAAATTGTGGTATCATCTTCACCCACTATTTTTTTTCTCTCCTGTACATATAGTAATACTGGTGTGCGCCTCGTTGTTTTTTTATTTGCGAGTTCATTGAAGAACATCAATCTTCTTCAACTTAGCTCCATCAATTTGGAAGGAAATTATAGAAGTCAGAAAGTTGCAGCCATGGCTATGGTTCTGTAGCCATAGCTGTGGAAACCTGCAGTGCAAAATTGGGACTCTAGAGAGTTACAGCCATAGCTGTAGATCCACAGCTAGAGCGGTGAGGCATTGAAGATGAAGAAAAGTTACAGAAACTCACAGCCATAGCTGTGGTTCCATAGCTAGAGCTTCAGAAATTACTTAACCATGAAGGAGTCTCCACAGCTTTAGCACTGGTTCCACAGCTACAGCTGTGGGCTTAAAATATATGTACAGGAGAGAAAAAAAATAGTGGGTGAAGATGATACCACAATTTTGAGGATCCTGCTTGTGCTCCTTGTTTGAGTTTTTTCTTTCCGATTATATTCCAACTAACGTAGTTTCTCTGTTCTGTTTCTGTTAATTTTTTCATTCCTTTTGTTCATCTTGTGTTATGGTATTTATAGGCACACAATTTTTTAATTTGATTAATCTTTCTCTGCCAAAATCCCTAAATTTAGGGATATGGCTTGTGAATCTGGTTAAGAGACGATTTTGGAGATTTTTGCAGGGCATGGTGATTTATTTGCAGTGGTAAGGTAGCTCTGTGAGAATTGTAGTAGAGTAGTTGAGGGGAGCAGTTGCTGGGGTTCACGGAGGATAATGGAAGATACGAGCAACATGTTTTTTCTTCTTATTTTTCTATTTTGTTTTGTTGTTTATTTTTTTGTTTTTTTTTTGTTTTTTGCTTTTAATCTGTATTATATTTTGTAATATTATGGACTGGACTTTTTTGATTTATACAGGAAGACAAAATTTGGAGTTAACAGATCCCCCTCTTTACTTAAATTTTACTAACGAATATGAAAACTATATATTGTGAAAATATTGTACTTATTCTCTATTATATATATATATATATATATATTATAATAACTAAAATTTCAATTACTATTTTAAGAACAGTACACTTAATAATATTGAAAATATTGTTATCTAAAAATTTAAGACATTACAAACAGGCTGAGCACGCCCTCTGCTAATGGACATGCCGAATACCCCCGACATGCCACATACCCCCTCGATCGATGAACATACCGAATGGGTATTTGGCTATGACGAATATCCATGAGGTAAAGTAAAACAAGTGTTAATTACATTAAACACATCCACATCAGCTATAATCAGTGAGCAAAACTTTGTGCACATAGCCCAAAAATCCAAAAAGGCGACGATTAACTCCAAATTTTGTCTTCCTGTATAAATCAAAAAAGTCCAGTCCATAATATTACAAAATATAATACAGATTAAAAGCAAAAAACAAAAAAAATAAAAAAAATAAACAACAAAACAAAATAGAAAAATAAGAAGAAAAAACATGTTGCTCGTATCTTCTATTATCCTCCGTGAACCCCAGCAACTGCTCCCCTCAACTACTCTACTACAATTCTCACAGAGCTACCTTACCACTGCAAATAAATCACCATGCCCTGCAAAAATCTCCAAAATCGTCTCTTAACCAGATTCACAAGCCATATCCCTAAATTTAGGGATTTTGGCAGAGAAAGATTAATCAAATTAAAAAATTGTGTGCCTATAAATACCATAACACAAGATGAACAAAAGGAATGAAAAAAATTAACAGAAACAGAACAGAGAAACTACGTTAGTTGGAATATAATCGGAAAGAAAAAACTCAAATAAGGAGCACAAGCAGGATCCTCAAAATTGTGGTATCATCTTCACCCACTATTTTTTTTTCTCTCCTGTACATATAGTAATACTGGTGTGCGCCTCCTTGTTTTTTTATTTGTGAGTAAAGACGAATAAAAAGAAAAATACTAACCTCAACGATTTGTTGTTCGTGCTGATTTCCAGCAACCATAGTGTGTTCTTCCATTTTTTTTCTTTTTTTCTTTTCCCTCTCGCTCACTCTGTCACCTCTTTTTCGTGCCCGTGAGTCTATGGCCAAAACGCAAGGACCACCGTGAGCCACCGCCATCGGAAATGATTTTCGACGGCGGTGTTTGCTTCTTCTTCCTTCCCCAAACAAATCCCCACAAGAATCACCGTGGGTCACCTTCAAAAATGATTTCCAACGGTAAGGCACCATGATGACTGTGAGTCCAGAGGAAGCCACTCAAATTATAGAATCTTTAGCATCTTCTGATCACCAAGCAGAGCATGGGAGACACCAATCTCATAAAAGCGGGGTTCTTGATCTCAGTACTAATGATGCAATCCTTGCACAGAACAAGCTACTGTCTCAACAGATTGAAGCACAGACTAAGAAGATGGCCAAGATTCCACAACAGCTTCATGCTATTGCTTCTTCTTCAAGTCAATCAAATTCTTCGTTAAAATGTGATTTTTGTGGAAGAGATCATCCGAATGGTCATTGTTCTGAAACCACAAATGAAGAGGTCAACTATGTGGGCAACCAACAAAAAAGAGGTAACTTTAATTCCCGTAATTATAATACTAACAGTTATATGCAGGGAAATCAAGGTTGGAGAAACAACAATAACAACCAAGGTTATGGATGGAGGAATGAAGCTGGGCCATCCAATAGGCCACCACCACAACAACAACAACAACAACAGCTTGTTTATCCTTCTATGCATGAAAGGACCAACAAATTGGAGGATACTCTGAACCAGTTCATGCAGGTGTCTATGAATAACCAGAAGAATACAGAGGCATCCATCAAGCACTTGGCGGTGAAGGCGGGTCAGTTAGCTAAACAATTAGCTGACATGTCTGGAGGCCCATTCTCAGCCAATACCAAGACCAACCCTAAGGAGCATTGTAAAGCCATAACAACAAGAAGTTGGAAGGTAGTTGGTGCAGATGTTGGAGTGAGTGAGAACAATGAGGGTGTTGAGAACAAGGGAGAAAATAGTGAATTGAGGGAGGTTGAGGAAGAAAGTGAGAAGAATGAGGGAGAAAACAATAAGAGTGAGAGTGTAAATAGTGAGAAAATAAGAGAGAAAAATGGAGTTGAGAAGGAGAAGAATAAAAAGAAGGGCAAGGAAGTCAGTTCTACTGTTCCTGTAAAAAACTTACCTTACCCTCATGCTCCTTCCAAGAAAGAAAAAGAAAGGCAGTTCCTGAGATTTCTGGATATCATCAAGAAGCTCCAGATTAATATTCCTTTCACTGAAGCCATGGAGCAAATGCCCACGTATGCTAGGTTCATGAAGGAATTGTTAACTAGGAAGAGAAAAGTTCTTGAAGAAGAGACTATGGAGCTTGAGACAGGTTGCAGTGCTATTTTACAAAAGTCTCTACCTCAGAAATCCAGAGATCCAGGCAGTTTCACTCTCCATGTATCAATTGGTAATCTATCAGTGGGTAAGGCACTCTTAGACCTGGGAGCCGGTATTAACTTGATGCCTTTATCCATGCTGAAGAAGATAGGAGAAGTAGACGTCAGACCTATAAGAATGACCTTGCAGTTGGCAGATAGATCCATCAAGCTTCCACATGGTATAGTGGAAGATATGATAGTGAAGGTTGATAAGTTCATGTTTCTGGTTGATTTTGTAGTCATGGATATGGAAGAGGATGTAGAAGTTCCTTTGATATTGGGCAGACCCTTTATGAAAACAGCTCGAGTTATCATTGACATGGATGAAGGAAAGCTGAAGGTGAGGGTCCAAGATGAGGAAGTGAGTTTCAATGTATTTGAAGCAATGAAGTGTCCAAAAGGCAACAAAGATTGCTTTAGAATTGATGTATTAGATGATGTGTACTTGGAAACTCAAAATGATTTCAAGAGCTCATCGCCACTGGAGAAGGCTTTGCTTCTTTCTAATGAAGAATTGGATAAGGTCATAGATGAAGAGGTTCAAGATGTTATTGATGCACTAAATAAAAGAGAAAACTCTTCTGCCAATGTTCAGTCAAAAGAAGAATTGAAGAAGGAGGAAAAAGAGCAAGTAGTGAAGCTGAAATTGGATGATAATGTAGCTGGAAAACACAGAAAGTTACAGCTTCTTGAACTTGAAGAAATGAGGTTTAATGCTTATAAGTCTTCTAAGCACTACAAGCAGAGAATCAAAGCATATCATGATAAGAAGATTTTAAAAAGGAGCTTCAAACCCGGCTAATCGGTGTTACTGTTCAACTCTAGATTGAAGTTATTTCCGGGATCGTGCGTTGATCTTCTTCCGGTTAGCACCAGCGCATAGTCTGCGGAGAGAAATTGGAGAGCTTCTCTCATAACCCTAACGTAAGGGTTTCTGCTGGTTTTCCCCAATTTCTGTTTCTGCTGTTTCACGAATTTAGGGTTATTCTTTTTCTTCCTTTTTATTTTTTTTAATTATGTAAGCCAAGCCCATTTGATGTGTTATTCTTTAGATGGCCAGATTTTTTTTGTTTTGTTCTAAGTGCTTTCAACTCACGTATGGGCCTAGCCCATTTTATTTATTTTTCTGAACAAAATAAGATTTTAGGAGTATAATATGTTGTAATTGAGGCTAATAATTATATACAAAAATTAAGGCAATTGATTTATTTGATTGTTTAAAGTTATTATATGTTGGATTTTCACATAATAATAATAATAATGAGAATGATAAAAATTAGTAACTATTCTACAAAATATTGAGAATAATATCTTTTATGAATATTGAATATATATATCTTTCAAAGAAAGGATTATTTGAATGTACATTCTCTTAATCTTAGGCCTAATAGATGCAAGTTGTAACAACTTGTTATCTTAAAAATTTTATCTAAATTTAACATATAATTAATAATTAGAATATTATAATTAAAAATATTGAAAGTCATTATTTAAATATTTTAGTAGCAAAATAGATAATTAGATGAGACATCTTTTTAATCTATGAGTTTAAGATACAAGTTGTGACAACTTGATATCTTTAAGTTTTTTTCTAAAATAATAAAAAAAATATCTAACCAAAATCTTTTTAATATGTACCACAATAATAACAATATTATTGATAACAAATGATATTTTTTTTAATAAAAAAATAATAATTAAATATCTGGCTTAGGTGTACACATATATATATAATTATGTATGAAGATGAAAGGGGGAAAAAGTTGTTGGCAAATTTAGGAGTAACTTGGGAAGAGTAGGGATTCGTTTATTGTAGAAGTAAGTATAGATAAACTTACTTCATTCAATAACTCAAGTTCTACATTAAATTTTAAGGATCCAACTGTTGAATTTAAATTTCTTAATGTATAAATCAAGTTTTCAAATTTTTAAAAAAATTTAAAATTTATTTGATACTTCATTTTATTAATTCAATTTGATGGATAATCATAAAAATATTTTATACATTGATTTGAATTAATGAAATGAAGTATTAAATGATATTTAATTTTTTTTTTTAATTTTACGAACTTGATCTATGCATTAAGAATTTTGAATTTAATGATCGTTAAATTTTGATATGAAACACGAATTATTGAATGAAGTAAGTTTAAATAAATTTATTCTTAAAATACACGAATCCCTCCTAATTTAGAAATAATGTCTTTAACAGAAAAATATTGTTACAAAATCAGTATAAGTTGATTTTTATTCAGTTTTTCTTTTGTTAGATAAGTTCTAAACTTTATATGCATCAACGTAACTTATTTTTTATTTTATAAACTTCAACTGTTATTCAAATCACACGACTTATTTTGCAAACATCTTTTTTATTATAAAAATATAACTAAATTGTAAAAAGTAAATCTCAAACATGCTTTTAGTGTCACTTTTATAAAATGTCAATAAATTTATTATATATTACACCTATATCTGTATATAATATTTTTTATTTACTATTTGTCTCTTTTTTTTATATAATACTTTTTTCTAGTTATCTCTTTCATTAATTGAATTTTATCTAAAAATAAATTTTTAATTAATTAACAACCTTTTTAGGAAAAAATAATGCATACTAGAAAATAATGAGATAATAATTTTCTCTCTTATTAAATTAGAAATATATATTTTTTATATGTTTCACTCCCGTACTTTCTTTTTCCAAACATTAATTAATAACAAAAAATTTTGGGAAACATTGAAAATTATTCTTGAGAGGTAGTAAATGAGTTGGCTTTTAGATCAACAAAAATGAAAAATACATCTTTTAATTCACTTAAAAATGGTTTGTTTTGCGGCTTGGTTTGGGGGTGCACTCATCCAACTTTGTTTGATCATGAAATTGTGAGTTATTTGATTAGCATGGCATGAAAGATCAGTAATTGAACATTTAGCCAAGCTGTTGAGTGAGAAAGACTAAACAGTGCATATATCATATATATTTCCACTTTTGAGAGCCATCATCATGGTATATGTGTTTGCATTGGTTGAGTCTTGAATGATTGCTCTTTTGAGAAGCTTTGGGCAGGATCAAGGCATTCCATTGTGCATACTTGAATTTTTCTGCCTAGAGCCAAACAGTTAGCCATGATTGAATCCTTTATTTGAAACCTGTTTGAGCCCTAACCTTCAATCAACTTTAAGCCTTTGCCAAATACCAAATCTTCACCCTAACCAAACTTTTGAGAGTATAATGAAAATGAATTGGGGATTAAGTTGGGGGAGTTGTTTAAATGGCAAGGTTGAGGGAAATTATTGAAATCAAGTTACTACAAAGCTCAAAAAAAAAAAATATACCCCTCTTGAGAAAAAAAAATTGGAACAAGTCAAAAATGGTGCTTGTGATTGTGAGTTTCATTTTCAAAAAAAAAATTAAAAGCAAAAGCAAAATAAGCAAGCACTTATACATAAAGTCTCAAAAGGGAAGGGGTGATTGAAATTTAGGCAGCCAATCTTAAGGAAAAAGGTGGTAATGCAAAGGAAGAATTTGGGCTAAGAGGCATGGTTGGAGTTGAATATTCAGAGTGAACAAGGTGGAGTTGTTTGGTTCATTTTCATTCTGCTCTCTTGAGTTTGAATCTTGTGGACCAGAAAAACCATATTTTCTTGCTAGCCAAGCCCAGTATAAACCTTAAAAAAAAAGTCCTTATGATCCTTAAGTTTCTTCCAATGAGTAATGATGGAAAGATGATATCAATGTTTATGTTCATAGAGATGATGAGTCGAATTGAGAGAAACACTCACCCTGGAGAGCCATATTTGTGAGAGTATGTTCAAATATTGGTTTGTAATGCTCGTGTTATGATTTGCCTTGCAATCTTTTTGACTAAGCAGGATTGATGTTGTGGGCACCTCAATGAGTCGAAAATGGTTTGTGATAGTGAATTGATTGAATGTTTTCCTTATTTTTGATACAGAAGAAATCTCATGATGGGAAGTATCCTTTTGGTTTTTGATTGGTATTTTGTTGGGGACCAACAAAAGATTAAGTTGGGGGAGTTGTTGAGTGTCTTTTATTCATATATTCACTCAACTTTTGGCACTCTTTTTGGATGAATTGTAAATATATTTATGCTAATTTACTCTTTAAAAGTTATATTAGAAGATAGAAGAGTAGTAGAAGAGTTAATGTTGATTTTCTCTCTTAAGTGCAGCAAAAATTGAGGAAAAGAATTCTGCAGCCATAGCTCTGGTTCTGCAGCTATAGCTGTGGAAATTTGGAAGGAAATTCTAGAAGTTAGAAAGTTGCAGCCATGGTTGTGGTTCTGCAGCCATAGTTGTGGAAACCTGCAGTGCAAAATTGGGACTCCAAAGAGTTACATCTATAGCTGTAGATCCACAGCTAGAGCAGTGAGGTATTGGAGATCAAGAAAAGTTACAGAAACTCAAAGCCATAGCTGTGGTTCCATAGCTAGGGCGTCAGAAATTACTTAACCATGAAGGAGTCTCCACAGCTATAGCGCTGGTTCCACAGCTACAGATGTGGGCTTAAAGTGTGCAACTTCTCCCCTGTTTTGAAGCCAATATAAAAGGGGAAAACAGAGAAAAAGAGGGGAATCATGAAATTAAGGAGAAAAACAGATTGAGAAGCACGTGAAGGGAGAAACGGAGCAAGAACGAAGACTTGGGCAGCTGGGTCATTTGGGAAAGAAGCCCAACCCCTTGTTCTCATCTTCTACTTTGTAATCTCTTCTTTTACTTCTTAGATCTTGTAATGGCCATGTGTGGCTAAACTCCTTAAGGATTGGTTGGATGTAACTACTAACTCTTCTTCTTCTTAAATATATGCATTTTGATCATATTATTTGTGCATTGATTCTTCTCTTAATGCTTATATCGGCTTGATCACCCGTTGTATGATATTTGGTTTTTGAATCCATTTGGAAAACGTTTTCGAAAACCCGAACTGAATCTTGCACCTAATCATTTCTTGTTCTAGGAATAGACTTGATTTGGTTAGTCACATTGTTCAAGTCATTGTTCTTAATGCGAAGTGTTAAACTCAAAACATAGAGGAATCATGTTTTGAGCTTAATGACTTTAGGATTCAAGCTTGAGGAATCTTGTTGGATTACTTAATGAACGTGGAAATAATGAAATTAGAATCGCATTTATTTTAAGAAGATCTACGAGTTAGCAAGTGCTTCTGAACCAATCCTTGTTTCTTAACTATTATCTTTACTACTTTTAGTTTATTGTGTGGTTCTACCCTATCTTCACTCAGTTGCAATCATAACAACATTCTCATTTAAATCATTAGAGCAAGAATTACTAAACACTCAAATCCCTAAGGACGATATTTGAATACTACTTCGAAACTTGGTTTACTTGCCAAGTGGTGTGTTTGCAAAAACCTCATCAGAGGTCTGCTTGTGGCATATTGCGCCGTGAACCGCCTGATTAGGGTGTTGAAGTTGTCGATTGACTCGGCAGGCAGCTGGGTGTACCAGTGGAGTGCAGCCCCTTTGAGAGAGGTCGAAAAAACCCTACACAAGATAACATCATTATTAGTGTAGAGGTTTACCTGGGTCGTATATAGGTCAATGTGCTCATCGGGGTCCGTCGTGCCATCATAGCGATCGAGATGGAGAGGCTTCCATCCGCGGGGGAGTGGGGTCTCCATGATGCCATCCACGAAGAGTTGATGGCGGAAAGTTTCTTGGCGGTCTGTGACATGAGTGGGGCCCCTGCTAACATCCTAAGTCGTCTTGCACGTCGGTGCATGAGACCAATGCGTGTCAAGTCGCTGAGTTGGTACTTTGG